AAAGAGTAGCTCCCACTCACCACAACTAGAGAAAGCCCGCGTGCAGCAATGAAGACCCAATGCAGCCAAAAATAAATTTAATTAATTAATTATTTTAAATGCTCATATTCATTAGTTTTGGCAAAAAAAATGTTCTGGGACACCTCAGGATCACTAGCAAATGCATGAGGTCTGGTATTAAGTATAATTTATAATGTAAGAGCTATAATCAAGGAAGGAACTAAAAGGCATAAATAAAGAATTTGGGAAAATTGAAATCCAAAATCACGAGTACATGACACCTAGATGAGTAAAAACTGGCTTGTTCAACCTACATCTGCACATAGCTCATCCCAGAAACATCAGGTCTGTATCTCTGACATGTAGACTAATTCAAGAACATACTTGGTTGTGGGACTGCATTGTTTAAGAGTGCCTTGAATACTAGTTGGTTGCACCATGTGACATCGCCAATACTTGACAAATTTTGACCAGCAAAATAGTTCCATACTCCACATACTGGATAGGGTTAAGTATGCATATAGAAAGTATCTTTGATTCTAGCTTGGGGAGGATGGGAAGGCAGAGACAAAAACAGCCAACACTTACTCAGAATAGAAAGGAAGATATATAATCCAAGAAAAGGTGAACTATTTTCCCCTATTATATAAAAAAGAACCAATTCAATTTGAGGATTTTTTTATATAACAATAAAACTAAAATCATGACACTTGAAACACCATTACTGAGGTTTCACTGAAACTATGCCAACCGCAGCATGTTTTTCAGAAGGAATGATTAGTTATCATGGTTTATTTAATTAAGTCTGTTCTCCTTACAAAAATGTGTACATTTTAATTTAATTTTAGATAGCTGGCCTATAGGAACCAGAAAAGAGAATGTAATTGTTTGTGGTAATAGTAAGTGACCAGAAGTAACCATCTGCAAAGACACACTTTTGCCTAAGGAGATGTGCCTTGGGAAGATAGCACAGCATGTCCAATCCCATTGCAGGACTTAGGATCAAGGGTTTGCTTTCTTTCAGAGTTTTGTCCTACTTAAAAAGTGTAGTTGAAGAGGCCAGCTGCCAAGTTATGAGGCCCAGTAGAGCAATTATACCACTCAACCAAAATATATGTTAGCACTAGGAATGACTTCTAGTTTTAATCTTCCAAAAGGATGCTAAACTATGGTTTATGGAAAACATGAGAAATATTATATAAGGAAAACATGCCACTTTATCACAGACATAATAAATGGGTTAATTTGTACTTTGAAAGCTTCCTGCAGCACATTCTGCATTGCCTTGAATCCCAACCATCTTTGCATATCAGCTTTGGAAGCTCTCAGGGCTATGGCCATTTGTTCAGATTAGGTCTGTCTTTAGTAGATAAGTCAATCAGGTAATTTGAAGTGTAAGGGGAAAATGTAGTGCTTTTGATGGTCTGAAAGTAGAAAATATCCCTTGCCCAATTAATTAATGCCTTTCTTTTAAATTTCCTATTTGAGTTTTGTCTTAGGTTCTCACACATGTGGACTCCAGTGGGCAGTTCAAAGTGTTTTTCCCGCTTGTGTTTGGAAAGAAGTACATCTCTGGAGAAAGCTGTACCTTTTGCTAGATGAATATCATGTAAAACTTTATGTCTGAGATGAAAGTATACTAGTTTAGACGGTGGTCTTGGGGCAATCATACTTGGGTTGCAGTTTCCCAGTTCTTTTTGCTAGTTGTCTAAACTCTCTAAGCCATAATTCATTCCCTTGAGAGATTAACAATAAGTAACACCTTCATAGAATTTTTATGAAGAATAAATGAGATTATTACTATAAAATGAATATAGTACCTGGCCCATAGAAATTTGTGTTGTTGTTGTTATTTAGGTTTATCAGGGCTATTCTCTTACTTCCAGAAGGACAAAGTGAACTCTCCCAGAGGGAGAAACAAAGAAAGGTTGAACAGAACTTTTAATGATTGAGAATTTATCTCAAATGAGCTATATTAAACTGATATGAGTGTTTAAATCAGAGGAAATGGAGTTTTAGTTAGTTGGGCAACAGGTTTTCATACTACTCCATGAAGCAGTGGGAAGAATAGATGAGTTATAGAGCATCAAGTTTTATTTTATTAGCACATCTAAGCTTGTCACTGTTTAAATCTGTGTTCTCTCCTTTCACATAAAGGGCATTTTGTGTCATTGACTTAGAAAATATTTACAGACATTTCTGTATGTTTACTTGACAATTCTTGTGCAATAAGAAGTAAGCTCAAATGTGATCTCTGAAGTTACTTTCTAGGTAGAGAAAAAGACAAGTACACATTTTCCCAACGAAATTAAAGTATAAATGGAGAGGCTTCCCTGGTGGCGCACTGGTTGAGAGCCTGCCTGCCAGTGCGGGGGACGTGTGTTTGTGCCCCGGTCCGGGCTATGTCAGTTTGGATCCTTCAGGAAACAAACACTGAGACAAAGTTAAGTGCGCAAGAGTTTTTTCTCGGGGGGTGGGGGGACAGAGATAATGCCTGTGAAAGATAAAGTGTGAGAAAACAGGATTGAGCAGGGAAACCCCGCAGATTATGAAGAAGATTAGACACCTGTGGAAGGAAAGAGAAGAGAAAGAAAAATTGAGCAAGAAGAGCCTCACACTGTAATTCAGATCTGGCAAAGTCTCAGCCAAACCAATGGAGAACTCCCAAGCAGACTGCCTATTAGAGGGGTCCCACGTTGATCAGAAATGGCCAAGGCATAGTCATTCTGTCATGCTTAGACACTGGCTGGAGTTTCCCAGGAAGAGCATGGCATTGAGTCTTAATGCTGTGGTGGATACTAAATGTGCTGTAGTTGGAAGCTACCAACTTCTCTCCTTACAGCTGGAGAGCAAGTTCTATCTTGAAAGGAGATCTGAGCAGCACACCTCTGTCGCTGCCACAGGAAGCAACATCACTGCTTTTCTGAACGGGAAAATTAAAGAAGGAATTCAAGCTTAAAACCTGTTTCAACTCTAATAAAAAACATTTATATTTATCCATTACTTTATGATTTTCAAATCACTTTCATATTCATGGCTCTAGCTTCATCATAAAATTATTTGTTGCCCAAGTGTTTAAAAGTAAACACATCAGTCTGAGGTTGCTCTGTGACTTTGTTCTAAATTTCCCAGAAGGGAGGATGACAATGCTGGGAGATGGCTATATCTTATTCAAGAGTATTGCTTTGCTGTCTCCCTTATCAAATTGGACTATCCTGAATATTCCTTTTATATGAATTATATATACAAGCAAATTTATGCTGGAAGGTAATTTAGAAATTGCCTAATCTATGTTCTTTTAAAAAGCGTTATGTTTTCTCTCTTTCACCTTATAATCAAAAGGTCTATTTTGTGGTTGAAAGTAATTTTAAAGGTTATCTAAAACATCCATTCATTCATCATTTAATCATTCATTTATTGGGGTCTGGTATGCATCAGATAGTGTGCTAGAAACTCGAGGTAAAATGATGAAAAATAGTACACAGCCTCTGACTTCTAGTAATATTTTTACACTTTAGTTTGTGTAATAATTATTGTGGAATATGTTAAAGTGAAGATTCCTGGGCCTCAAGTCCAGAGATTTTATTTAGAAAATCTGAGCTCTGACCCATGAATCTGTAATTTTTAGACGCATTGGGAGGAATTTTGATGAATGTAGCTCTCAGAGATGTTAAAAGATAAACCGAGGTGTATTAAAATTTTTAAGAGTTTGTTTGAGCAAAAATAGATTCAAATCAGGCAGTGAGAAACCAGAAGTGGTTAGAAGTGCTCCCCCATAGGGAAAAGACTTATATAGAGAAAATTTGGAAGCAAAGAATGGAAATTATTGATTGGCTATAGCTTATAGCCTAGGCAGCTATTTGAGATTGGGTCCTTATAAGGGGGAGGTGATTGAGTCAGAAGAGAAAATGTTTGGCGACAGAAGCTGAGAGTCAGAGTCAGAGAGGGATTTGAAGAATCTAGACTGCTGGCTTTGAGGGTGGAAGGGGGAGCCAGGAGCCAAGATTACAAGTGACCCCTAAAAGCTGGGAAAGAAAAGGAAATAGCTTCTCCCCCTATAACCCCTAGAGGGCATATACCCTTGCCAACACCTTGATTTTGGCACAGTGAAACCCATTTCAGATTTGTGACCTCTAGAACTGTAAGATAATAACTTTGTGTTGTTTTAAACCACTGAGTTTGTCATAATTTGTTAAAGTAGCAATAAGAAACCAACATACTATATAAGAGAAACATATATATAAAGCAGAATGGGGCAATGGAGAAGGGAATTCTCAAGTCTGATTTCAAAGAACTCAAAAAACTTATGTTTTGCATGTGTGGGATGAATGAAATGAAGAAATTTCAAAATCAGTAAATTGAAAATGTTAAATCTTGGGGAAGTTCCAGGAAATAGTGCAAACACATTCCAGATAGAGGAAAATTTTGCAAAAGATGGAGAGAACAAGCAGGGAGAACAACTTTTGGAGAGTTGTAAATAATTTGATTAGCAGAGGCATGGTATACATGCAAATAAGGCAGGAAAAGTAGACAGAGGTCAAATTAAGAAAGATGTGAATAATGTGTTATGCATTTTTCTTTTATCATTAAGTGGATGGAATTAAAAGATTTTAAACATCAGCACAACAGGATCATAGTGCTATAATTATAGACTCTGGAAGCCATCTGGACAATGACTGAAATAGATTAAATTCTGCTGGAGCTTTCTAGGTGAAAAATGTAGAGCATCTAAGATATCCTTTATGAAGATTGAGAGAAACAGGTTAAATTTACACCTTCCCAGACACTAGGAACTGAAAAGATCATGATGCACCATTCCTCTACCGATACGTAAGAAAAAAGCCACCCATTCTCAACTATAAAGTACAAAACTTACTTTCATGCTGAATTTTAACTTTCTAGATTTTCTGATTGCGAAGTTCTGGGCACATTGATCATTCCTGAACTTTGCTCTGTGTGTGTGTGCATGGACACACACACATACAGGCATGCATGCTTGACATGTATACACATTTGCTTTTAACTGTTGCTTTAAAGATAGTCTGCCTGTTGGATAAGAAGTAACAGAAAATATTTAGAATTGTCAGAGTTGGGAAAACAGGTTTTGAATGTGAAGAACTAAAGGAAAGCTGGGAATCAAAAATAAATTTTAGGTTTCAGTTTTAAGTGATTAGAGGATATTGGTGCTATTAAGATAATAAATAGAAGACGGTTCTTTGGGGTACAAGCCCACCATCTTTTGTTACTGAGTCTAAGCTTGTAGTGCAGCGAGCAGTACAAACTTAGACTAGGCAACAAATTTTGGCAAAGCCAGCCAGGAGCCTTGCTGCTCGTAGCCAGCCAGCCCTGGTTGGGGAATTTTCAGGTAAGGCCCTAGCAGCTGCCAGGACCACTTGTCATGAGGATCTGCCCTCCAAGATTCCTCAAATCAGCACCAGCTGCCCCAGCACTTGGCAGCTGGAGCAAGGAATTGTCATCTGGGAGCTGTCAGGCTCCGTATAGTAGGGTAAGTCACTCCAGTATGTATAGCCGGGAACTATATTTATTCTCTGTTTGGGGCTTTTTCTCTGGAATAAGCCAATTTGTCTTGTGGGGTACCCTGTTGGAAAGAGGAAAGAGTTATTGGACTTCTACCCGATTTCTGAACCAGTTCGTTGGTTTCTTTGGATGCTAGCATTTGTTTGTGTTTTGTTTGTCTTGAAAAAGGGTGAATGTTTCAACTATCCCTAAAGAAAGCCCTCTGAGGCACATTTTGGATAAGGGATCTGATTAGAGCTCTGACCCCATGGATGAGAGGAAGATGATATCTTATTGTAATAATGTGTGGCTACAATACCTGTTGAGCTCTCTACAGGGGGGTTATTTTTTTATTATTTTTTTTTACATCTTTATTGGAGTATAATTGCTTTACAATGGTGTGTTATTTCTGCTTTATAACAAAGTGAATCAGTTATACATATACATATGTTCCCATATCCCTTCCCTCTTGTGTCTCCCTCCCTCCCACCCTCCCTATCCCACCCCTCTAGTCACAAAGCACCAAGCTATCTCCCTGTGGTATGAGGCTGCTTCCCACTAGCTATCTGTTTTACGTTTGGTAGTGTATATATGTCCATGGCACTCTCTCACTTTGTCACAGCTTACCCTTCCCCCTCCCCATATCCTCAAGTCCATTCTCTAGTAGGTCTGTGTCTTTATTCCCGTCTTACCCCTAGGCTCTTCATGACATTTTTTTTTCTTAGATTCCATATATATGTGTTAGCATACGGTATTTGTCTTTCTCTTTCTGACTTATTTCACTCCGTATGACAGACTCTAGGTCCATCCACCTCACTACAAATAACTCAATTTCGTTTCTTTTTATGGCTGAGTAATATTCCATTGTATATATGTGCCACATCTTCTTTATCCATTCATCTGATGATGGACACTTAGGTTGCTTCCATCTCCTGGCTATTGTAAAATAGAGCTGCAATGAACATTTTGGTACATGACTCTTCTTGAATTATGGTTTTCTCAGGGTACATGCCCAATACTGGGATTGCTGGGTCATATGGTAGTTGTATTTGTAGTTTTTTAAGGAACCTCCATACTGTTCTCCATAGTGGCTGTACCAATTCACATTCCCACCAGCAGTGCAAGAGTGTTCCCTTTTGTCCACACCCTCTCCAGCATTTATTGTTTGTAGATTTTTTGATGATGGCCATTCTGACTGGTGTGAGATGATATCTCATTGTAGTTTTGATTTGCATTTCTCTAATGATTAATGATGTTGAGCATTCTTTCATGTGTTTGTTGGTAATCTGTATTTCTTCTTTGGAGAAATGTCTATTTAGGTCTTCTGCCCATTTTTGGATTGGGTTGTTTGTTTTTTTGTTATTGAGTTGCATGAGCTGCTTGTAAATTTTGGAGATTAATCTTTTGTCAGTTGCTTCATTTGCAAATATTTTCTGCCATTCTGAGGATTGTCTTTTGGTCTTGTTTACGGTTTCCTTTGCTGTGCAAAAGCTTTTAAGTTTCATTAGGTTCCATTTGTTTATTTTTGTTTTTATTTCCATTTCTCTAGGAGGTGGGTCAAAAAGGATCTTGCTGTGATTTATGTCATGGAGTGTTCTGCCTATGTTTTTCTCTAAGAGTTTGATAGTTTCTGGCCTTACATTTAGGTCTTTAATCCATTTTGAGCTTATTTTTGTGTATGGTGTTAGGGAGTGTTCTAATTTCATTCTTTTACATGTACCTGTCCAGTTTTCCCAGCACCACTTATTGAAGAGGCTGTCCTTTCTCCACTGTACATTCCTGCCTCCTTTATCAAAGACAAGGTGACTGTATGTGGGTGGGTTTATCTCCGGGCTTTCTATCCTGTTCCATTGATCTATATTTCTGTTTTTGTGCCAGTACCATACTGTCTTAATTACTGTAGCTTTGTAGTATAGTCTGAAGTCAGGGAGCCTGATTCCTCCAGCTCCGTTTTTTGTTCTCAAGATTGCTTTGGCTATTCGGGGTCTTTTGTGTTTCCGTACAAATTGTGAAATTTTTTGTTCTAGTTCTCTACAGGGGGTTTAGAAAGGGTTATCTTGGGACCCTGTGCACCGTGTACTGCTACTTTTGCTGTGTTAATTACATCTTTTATGGTCTCCTGTGTTGCTGGTGTATGTAAAACCCCAAGACCAAACTTGAGGGTCTTATTTAGGATTTTCTGTCTGTTCTTTGGGTTTTTTGTTTCATTTTGTGTGGTACTGTTTCTCTATTTATAGCCAAATCAGCTTTGTGATACTTAAAACTTTTACTGATATCAAATGGGGGAAAGGAACAGGAAAAAAACCAGTCTGTTCTTGTCCAAGAGTGGGACATTCCAAGGAAGAAGAGTTCTATTTGGTTCCTAAAATCACCGAAAGGTAGAGATAGAAATAAAAGTGTCTTTTCCATAAATATTAGTAAAAAAAGTTTAGCTGTGTAGACAGGTGACCTTGATTTGTCCCATCTACCAAAGCCCAATTTGAATCCAACCTTTTATAACTGATGAGTTTTACATTGTTGTACCTGATTCATGGCTAAAATTTTGGAATGGGAACTATGTCCTTGTTTGTATGTTTGTACATGTGTTTTAGATGTGTGGCATTGCCAAAATTAATTTGTAAAAGAGCTCTATTTAATTGCCTTGAAGGAAGTTAAGTACTTATTGATATATAAATACTCAAATATAAAAGAAACTCGCCAGAATGAGTTTCAGGTTCATGTGATCTAGGAAATACTCAGACTTGAAACTAAACTAAGTTCCAAGATAAGATTGGACTTAATTAAGAAAATAAATCTTAAAGGTAAAGTGGTATAAAATCTGAATTTGGTTCTCTAAGAGGACAAAGTTTTCTTAAAATATTGAACTGCTTTTGGTTAATTGTGAGTTTAAGTGATCTGTATTTGCCATTAAGATCTTTTATTATCACTGGTTAAAACTTTTTGATAGTTTTGACAAACATCCCAAAGATCGAGTTCTAAGTGGGGTTAATTTGACCTCTGGCTAACTTTGTGGTTTTCTGGAAGGTCCCTGGAACACCTCAAGTTATTTGTTTTCTCTTCATCTCAGAGAGAGGAATATTAAACTAGTTGGGCTTATTTGGTGTGTTGAATTGTATGGGAGGCACTGTCAAATGAGTGATGATAAAACTTCTTAGACTGTATCATATGGGTAAACATTATTAATATGCATATTCTAGAAATTATATGCAACTCATAAAATTCTGGTATATCCTGGTAAATGATATCAGTCATAATTTTAGTAATTATCTTAAATTGTTTGTCACAGCAGTAGTCAAGTTTTTGTTCAATTGCATTGCAATCCCAGTTGGCTAATGCCAAAGTAAAAAGGCATCCTTTTCATGGTTAGATGATCAATTGCTGTCTGTGGTTTTACAGTGGCTTTTGGATGACTCTATAGCTATTTTGTGAAAAAGCAGGGAAGAATGATGAAATCCTTTATGTGCAAGCATTTATATGTGTACTATTATCAAGGAAATAAGAAAAGGAAAGGAAGGGAATGAGAGGATATGTTGCTTCAGACCTTAACACCTCTGGCTGAGCTAGCTATCCCAGCCACTCTGGCCATTATGGCCTTCCACCACCATCTGTTCCTATCCAGACCCAATTCGTGACACTGGGGCTCAGGACTTCCCCTCCTGTGTTAGTTTCTGGGCCACAGGGACTTGGTCTGGTATCACCATCTAAGACCTGACAGGGCACCCAAGTTGGGCTGGGTGCCACTTCCAGAGCAGGGCAATTTCCCTTATGCCACTATCCTGTAGGGGGCCTAAATGCAAACGAACAGCCGGCTGGGTTTCTCAGACTTGTTTAATTGGAAAGATCACATCCCTCATAAGATTGCAACTCTCCTTATAGGGAGGATCCTCAACACCTGAGGCCCACTTGGCAGCACCCACAGCTGAACCAAATTGGGACCCCAGTGAGGGAAGAAGGTCCTTATTAGAGTACTACTTATTAAAACATCTTGGCAGGGCTTTGAAAAGGGAAACCAAAGCAAAAGAGTTAGAAAAATATTCAAGAACGGCAAGAAATTCAGCAAAACAAATAAAGACCTCTCTGAATTTTTGGAAAGGATTTCGGACCTACAGATGTCACACTAACGCAGATCCCAAGGCCCCTGAAAATATTAGAATGGTAAATTTGACCTTTTTGGGCAAAGTGCCTCAGCTATCAGGAGAAAGTTGCAAAAATAAGATGGTACATTTGGATTGAACCCTTCTCAATTCGTAGATGTTGCTTTTAAAGTACTCAACAGAGGAAAACAACAGAAGAAAAAAGATGCAAAATGAAACTCCACTTTTTTGGAAGCAGCATTGGATTCCCAGAAGGTGAGTAACGCGAAGAGAAGTAAACTGCCACTGGGGAAGGAAAAATGCTTACTGTAAGGAGGAGGGATGCTGGAAAACAGATTGCCCTAGGCTAAAACAGAAGAAGAACAATAAAAGATGAGAGCCTTTTATATACTAGAAAGAGAGGAACACTGAAAAAAGAGGCCCAGGGGCTCCCTTTGACTTGAGGCACCTAATTCCGCACAGGAGCCCCAGGTAAAATTGACAGTGGGGAATGAGCTGATTAACTTTCTGATAGACTTCACCGTGCAGTTTTTCACCAGAATAGTTTGACATCAGAGTCCCACCAGAATGCTTTAAGCCTACAGATGAGCTCATGAAAATCCCAGAAAAGGAGAGAGAGCTCTTTCCCCCAAGGTCTTAAAAATAACCCAAAGGCTTCTGTCAGAACTCCTCAGATGGAGACTCAACACAGAGGAACCTGCCCCACTGCAGACTGAAATAGACTTCACTCAAATGCCTCGAACAGCAAGAAATTTCAGATAACCCGCTAATGTTTGTGTGGACAATTTTTCAGGATGGGTGGAAGCATATTCCATGGACAGAAAATCTCTGAAGTAGTTAAAGCCTTCCTTAGGGAAATTATCCCTTGATTTGAATTAAGGCATTTAGAACAACA